GACATGACAGTGACTATTTCCTCTCCTGTCCAGTCCATTACTGACACAAGACCTCGAGGAGCACATCCATTGCCACATTTGCAAACATAAAAGGGGAAGACAGGGGCTGTTGAAAGGGACCATTCACTGCCCAATATGGCTGAAACACGTTTACTCAGAAGTAAGTTGGATTGCATGATTGGAGACGGTATATCGGGCACAGAGTCAACTGTTGTATTCCGATCCTGCCTTGCAGATTTAAGTTTCCCCTCTTGGGGGGCACCTTCGACTATGACCCTAAACCAGGTAAGTCAGGAGTTAATCCAGGAAGTTCAACAGGCTTTGCTTCTCACCTTTGGAGACTAGGATGCTATGCACGCTTCCGTGGGAGGAAGGAAGCCCCTGCAGACACACCTTCAATAAACCCCTTTGGGCTACCAAAAAGACACACCTGGGTGCAAAGCCTGCAGGGAGGCATCAAGGCCCTCTTTCATTGACTGTATGCACAACATCCCCTCAAAGCACCGCCCGCCCCAGTCCTGGCACTCAGAGCTCTCGCAGGGGTCACCTGCCACTTTATTGACGTCCCCTGAAAAACTTAGGCGTCCCCTTTCTGTCTGCTGCGGGAGGGAGCTTCTCTCAGGACACACAGGCATCCAATTTGGGTTAACCCGGTTCAGATGGACCTAATTGGGGCCAATCCGGTTCAGCCCTTTGTATTCTTCAGGGAGGATAGCTACAGACTCAACCGGTCCTCGGTTTGAGAAGGGGCTGCTGCTGGGGCTTCTAGGTTGCTGAGTCCACCGCGAGGATCCACAGTAAGTGTTGATTTTTTCTCCCTGTGCTCTGCAATGGAAATGTTATAGCTCTGTTTGCTGAACAGTTTCACTTTTTATTCTTGAAAATTGTGAGTTCCTCTAATCTCCATCCCTGTCAAACTATGGGGGGTGCTAATGAATGTGGCTTGGATCTGAAATTGGAGTCCATCTGAGTTAGCTGTTTATCTAACCTCTTCCGCAGGTGAAGAGGTTTGCTGGATGTGGAGTGAGTTTTCATGCTCTGGTTTACAGCCCGTTACCTTTGAATTCAGGCTTACTTTCCCCCATGGGCTCTGTGGGGGTGCCCAGGGGGGAGGGGAGAAATGGGGAGCTGCCACTGAGACTGGGGTGTTCTGGTTCATGAAGGCGGTTGTTTGTGAGAAGGGAGTGGGGGTGTCTTAGGGAAAGTGGGGCAAGATGGCTAGGTGGCGTGGTCCATTGTGGTTTAGTTGACCCCATCACTCCCCCTGGTGTGAGTGACAAGGAGGGCAGTGCGTGAATGTGGGTACAGGAGGAGAGGCTGAGGCACTGGAGCTGTGAGGGGGATCCAGGTTTTACCCCCATGAGAAAAGAGATGTGGCTTGGGGGCAAGATAGGGGCCCTATATTGGCCTGACGACCCCCGGATTGAGGATCTGTTTGTGGAGAGGGCTCCCGGAAGGGGTCCCAAGAATGAAAGAGGGCAGAGGAAATGGATGAAAGTGCCAGAACAACTTGAGGCGATACAGAAACGCTTAGACTAGCTCAAACTCACACAAAAATGTGCTAGTTAAAAAAAAAAGGGAAGCTCCACAGAGAAACACACACATTGGGAACCTCACATGGTATAATTTAGTTCAGATGCCTCGGACACTACCATTTAAGCAGTCTGCAAATTGTCTAATTAAATGATACCATGTGTTGATTATAGATCCCAGAGAATATGGGAAGTAAGGGTTTGTCCATCTGTTTTCATAGAAGCTAGAGATAGCTGTGAGGCTCCCAATATGCCTGTTTGTCCGTGGATCTTCCCATTTTTCATTAAACTAGCTCAAACTTAGTGCACAAATTTTCAAAAACTCTAAATGTTGAGGTGACCTGAATACACCTTTGGTCACTCTTTCCTGTTCTTTGTCGTCCTTTGCAGCACTGCCATTCTGTGGCCCGCAGGAAGCAGCCGAGGGTCTTGCACCACTTTCCACCTGCACACCTTCACTTGATGGATCAAACATGGTGTAGTGGCAGAATCGTAGCCCTCAGCTGACTCTCCGTTATCGCGAACGCAAAAAACCCCTCCGAAACTTGAACAAGAGGCAGCCTGCACGCTTCCTTCACACGTCTGGATGCGACCCTCTTGCAGATTCAGGTGTTTTGCTAGGGTCGCCCACTTCTCATAGGTGGGATGCAACAAAAGTTGTGATGATTGCTACGAGGTAGGCAAAAGCCAAATGGCCAGTGCCAGTTTGCCAGATGGAAAAAATCCTACCAGGCCCCTCAACAGTGATCAACCAAGGTCCATAGCAAGGCCAATGCTGAAACCTGAAAAGAGGGAGGAAGGGCGGGAGATCCAGAAAGGCAAGCCAGAGGAAGCTCCTTGGCTCACACCAGAGTTTAAATAGCTCCAGCCCCGCCCCCCAGCCATCCGGATTGGCCTGCCGGGCCAATGACGTGGCTGGGACCTCCTGATGACACAGGACGTTCCCCACGTCCCGACACCAGCGGGAGGCCATGGAGTCCGACCGCAACCCTGCCCCACGTGGATTTGGGGTGAAAGCTCCATTGAACTCAGTAGGACTTCCTTCTAATTATGCAAAGGATTGGGCTCCATGACTAAAAATTCAGATTACTTTACTAGCTAGTGAGCCTATTGAATAAACTGATCAAAAATATGCTATTACTGTCAGATCCACTCTGTTATATATTGCTTTGGGTTCTATGCTGAGTACGTGACAGCAGAAAGTGAGAATCTGGCCAGAGAAATCTTATTACGAATAATCCTTTGAAGAGAAGACTGTGCTGTGCTATTTTTATGGTATTAATATGTTAATGACTTCAAGGCTTTGCTTGTATATTAAGAGGGAAAATCTGAATACATATTTGTAATGCAGTGCCGTAAGCTAGTGGCAGAATAATAATGTACAGATATAGCATTACAGTTAAATACTGATATCTTAATGTTCAACTGTTGCCATTTCATTATTTTTCATTTTAAAAGTAGCCAATTTATCTTTTGTTTTGCATATAAAAATGGTTTTTCATAATAGAATTGTGGGTTTCACATACCTTTGTATGTTGGTGAGGCATTTTTTATATGCTCTCCCAATGAAAATGATTTACCAGTATTCTAGGCCTTCAGTTTAAGACCTTGTTGAATACATACCCAGCTAATGAGATACATGAGTGTAAGCAAGGCTTTGGGCATATACCATTGGCAGAATAAGGAACCACAGATGTAAATCAGTTGCTCATTCCAATGCACATCTAAATATATGGATTCTGTCGGGTCACAATGCACCATATTTCAATATTATGTGTATTCAAATGTGCATCCTGATTCACATTCTGTCTTTTTAAAAGTCCAACAATATCTAGATCAAGGCATGCCATTTAATCATATCTGTAGTCTTAATGGTGAACTTTTAACCTTGCATGTAGCAATTCTGTTTGAGCTATAAATTAGTAAGACTATCCTATTTGGACTGATTTTCAGTGGCCATGGGCCAATTTTAGCTCAAAAGATGTGAAAAGGAATTCACATTTTGTACTATTAAAATTTGTCACTTCAGCCAATTTGAAAACTAGCAGCGCAACTCCAGCTTTTTATTCCCTTTTTAGTCATAATAATTGGACCCCTGATAATTCAGGACTTTAACCTTGTATTGGGCCATTCTGAGTTAAACTGTTTATATCTTCAGTGGAATACTATATTCATCCATGGGAGAACCTGACTCACAGCTTTGTACATTAAATATGACCTTTCTCTTGCTACTGGTGGCTAAAGAAGCCACCTTTGTGAATAAATGTCTTAAAGCTTCCATTTATGAGGAAAATGTTCGCATTTATTCAGCTGAAGTTACTGTTCTCCAGTCCTCAAGAGGATTAACTAAATTGGTAACAATAGTCTAACTCCTTCCTCTTCTTTCTGGTTTGATGAAGTTATCACATATCACCTGGGTCTGAATGTGCAGCACATGATTTCTCTGTGGGATTTTAGCTGATTGAGTGTGATAATATGTATCTGTACATTCCAGTTTCTTGTCTTTCTGCTGATAACCCGATAACCTGCTTAGCAGATACTGTTCTAGATTATTATTAAAAGTTAGAATGTCACACTGCCATTCTGAATTAGTTTCTTTTTATAAAGCATAATAATGTGCACTTCTGTTATACTTTCCATGTATTCCACAAGTACATTCTATTGAAAAGATGTTTACAACATGATCCAGCAGACACTAAGGACATTTAAGTCTTATTGAGTTCACTGAGAAGGGATGTGCATATAACTTTCACATTAAAATACATGTAAATTAAAAGTACTTAACTTTGACTAGATCATGCCCATAATCTTTTTAAAAAGCAGCTGACAGATACAATCTGTAGAAACGTTTATCCTTTTTAAATTACATTAACTTAAAGCAGTCCTTTATATGAAAGTTATTTGTAACAAACGTTTGCCTCAACTCCTTGAGATGATCGCAGATTAAAAACTGAATAGGCAGACTGATAATTGCAGTTTTTGCTGCAAAAGACTAACATGACTACTCCACTGGAATTAACTCTGTCTGTATTTTAAGGGATATATTAAAAAGCGTTCACTCTCTTGACCGTATAAAGATGGCTCCTATTTGCTTTAATGGCAGTTTTGTAAATAAATCTGTGCAACAGTGAGAAGCAGATGAGCCCATCAGTATGTAGTTAAAGTTTTTGTCATGGTATATTAAATATGTGAGCATAGTTCCTTAGTGTGACATTTGTTCCTGATTCATCCAGTCAGGCTTGATTAAAATAAATGCCTCTGCAAATTTCATATTTGGACTTAAGCATTTCAGATTAACAAATCAAAGATTTGTCACTATTTAAATCTTTGGGATGCCCACATGAGGATAAACCAAGCATGGATTAACCAGATCTGAGCTGACTTTTTACATACTGTTTCAGATTTCCAACAGTCTGGGAGTTTAGATAAGATGACCTTAAAATATACAATATTAGGTTACTTTAATTATGGACACATTTTACAGTTTATAAGTCACTAGTATGTAAGTACTATCTATATATTAAGGAGTTAAGAGAAAATTCACACATGGTTTCATTTGTGAGCCTGGTAGTCATTTAAGGCACACAATCCTTCCCTGCTCATGTCTGTAGCATCCCTTTGTGGAGGTTTGGATTGTTTCCCATCTTCCCATCTACCACCTTCTTTGTATACTGCAAGCCACAAAGATCTAGAGAGAGATCTGGAGAGAGAAACGAGAAGTGTGAACATTTCCTGGAACTGTCCTTTGCCTGCTTCCATTCACACCAATAAAGTTGTGGTCTTTCAACCCATGAATGAGTCAACTGAACTTATTTTCATTGCTGTGAGGGGATGCGGAGAGCACATTCTGCAATTGCTACACAATTAATATTGTGTTTATTATATTGGCATGGGTGAAATAGGATGTTTGGTTTTTTCCCCACCTCTTCAGTCAGTCATGGGATAAATAATAATATTCTATTCTATTCCTGATCTTTAGGAGAGAGTTCCCATGCTGACATAGTCAAAACAGCAGCCCCCATATGCAAGAAGGTCTTGGCAGATTTGGGGAATCTCAAGGAATCTCAGGGAATCTCAAGGTAGTGAGAGCTGGACCATAAAGAAGGCTGATGGCCAAAGAATTGATGCTTTTGAATTATGGTGCTGGAGGAGACTTTTGAGAATCCCATGGACTGCAAGAAGATCAAACCTATACATTCTTATGGAAATTAGCCCTGAGTGCTCACTGGAAGGACAGATCCTGAAGCTGAGGCTCCAATACTTTGGCCCCATCATGAGAAGACTCCCTGGAAAAGACCCTGATGCTGGGAAAGACTGAGGGCACTAGGAGAAGGGGACGACAAAGGATGAGACGGTTGGACAGTGTTCTCGAAGCTACCAACATGAGTCTAACCAAACTGCGGGAGGCAGTGGAAGACAGGAGTGCCCAGCGTGCTCTGGTCCATGGGGTCACGAAGAGTCGGACATGACTAAACGACTAAACAACAGCAAGGTTTGCAGCAGTACAGAATATATTTAGAAAGGGGGAGGGAAACCGTAAAGAAAGGAGAAACCTGACAAACAGCATGGATATTGAGAGTGCACAGTGGAAGCAGAATGTTGACTGAACTTTGGGTGGTATTGGGTACCAGTGATTCCAGACACATGTACCCAGGCGAACCCAAAAGTTTCTAGCAGAGTTCCTGCTTTTTCTCAGTTATTTTAAAAATGTTTTAAATTCCGTAAGGACTCTTAAATTCCAAAGTAAGTATACTTCATTGTCCATATTGCAAGGTTCACATATTGCAAGTATTTCACACGAAGTACTTCAGGTCAGGTGCTAAGTGGTTAATAACCCTCCAACGTTGTTCAGCAGTGTTAGACTCCAACTGAACATTGGGCTGAAGCTGATACTGGACTGTACAACAACCCTGCAATGTTGTCCGTTGCTTTAACACCCACATTGCAGGCTGGGCTGAGTGCAGCACACTACAACTCTGCAATGTGGCACACTGTTAATATTGCAGGTCAGAGATAAGGCTGAAGCTGGTTTGGATTTCCAGTCAAAAATACCCCAAACCTCTCAGATACCAACAAAGGTTAATTTACTTAAATCTCCCATTCAGACCTCCTCAGCAGGCCAAAAAAAACCTAGCTGCACGGAGAAGTCTCATGTTCCAAAGCCATGCATGAAGACTGGCTGCACTTTTAAATGCTCAAAAAGTGAATTCAAACCATATAATCAGAAAGCCCTTATACAAAGTATGGGCAAATTATCGATGGCTACTGGAACCAAAGATACCCTGGTGTGTGTCTCCACTAGAGGTATTAGTGGTAAAAAGAATAAATATGGAAAAGAAATGGCCAACATACCAACCATTACGAACAAAAGAGCAGGGAGTTGTAAAACTAAAACCATACGAAGAGATTAAGGACTATTGCAATAGTTGGTTACAATATTATCAAATAGTGCACCTGTTTAACCAAGATAAAAAAACAGGTTTTGAACAGAAAACTTCTAAACTGATAAGTGAACTACTGCAGTCAAATAAAAAAATTATATTGAAAATGTACCACCTACTCCTTGAATGAGAACTGAAAGATAAAGTAATAAAAGAAACAACGATAAAGTGGTCACAAGATCTGGGCAAGCCAATACATTTAGATAGGTGGGGGAAATTATGGAGTGTTGAATAATGTATATGGTTTGATAATTTGTTATGTGGAAATTGAGCAATAAAAATATATTTTTTTAAAAAATAAAATTTTAGTGGGACAGTCCAAAAAAGAAAAGAAAAGAATGTGATATAAATGTAAATTGGCTGACGATTGTGCTTGTAACTTGAAATATTTTGAATGATTGTGGTTGTAAGTTTAAGTATTTTTTTTTAAAAAAGTGAATTCAGAGCTGTAATATTTTGATATTTTAATGTAAAAATGTGAAGCAACAATGCAGTTAGATTCAAAGACCGAAGTCCCTGTTCCAACACTTGTTTTCAGTCTGGTCTGCCAGTCACAGATTACCAGGGCTGGTTCACCCATGAGGCAAGGTGAGGCACCTGCCTTAGCCGGCGGGATGCATAAGGGCAGCAGATCCCAATGTCGATCTTTATTCCTGATGTTGATCTTCACTCTCCCCTCCTTCCCTGGCTCTTGGATCTGACGTCCAGGAGCCGCAGTGGATTCCACTCGCGCCCTTGTAGGGCGGCCAATCACAGGCGGAGAAGGGGGCGGGGCCTATTTCTACCGTTGGAATAACGGTCACTTCCTTCAGCCTCGGTGGGGCGGGTTTTGCCAGCTGGTCCCTCTGAGAGCAGGGGTGAGCCTTTCTGTCCACTGGCCTGGTCACTAGAAAGAGACTCAATATTAACGCAGCCATTCTTAAGGAAGGAGCAGCCGCGAAGAGCATCTGTTGTTTCCGTACCGGAGAAACACACGGCCCCTTCCTTCTCTCCCCACCATCCTTCGTAGGTCGGTGAGAGGAGAGGGACTGGGAGACTTTCCTCAGGTTATGTGGGGTGAGAGAAGGGCGAAGCATTAAGGAAAATATTTACAGGCTTCTCCCCTTCTCCTTTAAGGGAGGCATGTGATCCTTGATAAAGTTAATTTTTTGAAGAATATATCAGGGGCAGGACAGCCCCCTAACTCCACATCTACTTCCTGCCTTCGCCACAGTAGCAAGGCTATTGCCCTTCTGCTCTGGGCGCAGCAAAAAACCCAAAACCATCTTGGAAGGGATTTTTTCCTTAGTTTTTCCTTTTTGCCTGTTTGTTCTTGGTTCCTTCTTCCCGCTCCCTTCCTTTATCTCCGCCAGGTTTTCACTCTCTCCTGGTTCCATAGACCTCTATATTCCTCCCGCCCTGCTGCTTCATTTCTATGCCTATTTTTCCAGGACTACAAGCTTTTTGGAGGCCTTTGGTCTTCTATAGCCTCGGAAAGGGCTGAAACATTACAGTACCAACATTTGCTTCTGCAGTTCAAAAGCCAAGGTTAAAAGCTGTAAGGGGGAGCTTTTTAATACAGCAGGGAGATGGGAGGTATTTGAAAACAGATTATCCTTTTTTGAATTTCTGCCTGTTTTGCAGGTCTTTTAAATTCAAAAACAAATGGGAAACCTGACAGGAAAGAGGTTGACTGCCTAATGTGACTCAATAAGAAAACCAAATGTTGTAAAGCTTAGGATGTTTTATGTATTTTTAAATAGATTTGCATGTAGGTTCGCTTGCACCATGGGTTGAAGGCCCCCCGCCCCATAATTTTGTACAGGTATTGTATAGAGATAGGTCAAATAGGTTAGAGGTGTATGGAGCGTTTGCCTTTTAAAGGCAGGCTGAGATGTAAATAGCCTGAGTCAAAACAATAGCTTTTATCATATGTCATAGATACTCTGCAAGCTCAGTGTAAGTTTTCAGTTATGGCCATTTGAAAAATATTTTTGTTTTAAGGTATCTCATAGTTTCACAGCTGTGTAAATTACCAGCATAAATGACTTGTAAGAACATAAGTGCCAACTCCTAGGGGCCAAGGCCCCACAAGTTGTTAGGCATTGCTGTGGGCATAGCCAAGGGTTGGGGTAGAGAGGTGCCCCCAACTCAAGTAAATAAATAAAAGTACTTAACTAACTGAGAAGAGAAGACTCCCTGGAAAAGACAGTAATGTTGGGAAAGATTGAGGGCACAAGGAGAAGGGGATGACAGAGGACGAGATGGTTGGACAGTGTTCTCGAAGCTAGCAGCATGAGTTTGACCAAACTGCGGGAAGCAGTGGAAGACAGGAGTGCCTGGCGTGCTCTGGTCCATGGGGTCACGAAGAGTCGGACACGACTAAACGACTAAACAACAACAACAACACTTAACTGACACCCGCCCCCCCAATAAATCGTGGGTATGCCCATGGGCATTGCCATTCAAATGGTGTGCATGCACAGCGTTTTATGATTGATTATGCAGACCCCCCCTATTTTATTCAAGCTGGCACCCTTGGTCATTGTCATTCTTATATAAGATACATATTTTAATAAAAATTATGACAAGCAAAACCTCAGGGTTTTTTTTTTAAGTTGCCACTATAAATGGGGAGTATAATTTCTTCTGGCAATAAAGAAAAATATCATTGAAAACAGGTTGCCACATTTCAAAAATAATATGATAACTCTCTTGGCAATAGGACCAAAGATACCAATCCAAGATGGATAAAAAGAAAAGAGGACGTCAAAAATCACTGGTATCTCGTCTCCAGCTTACACCAGAGAATACTAAAGTACCACATATGGTTGAAGGAAAGTTTATTAAGCCCAAACAAGCTTCTATGGAAGATGTGAGACCGCTGGCAGTGAGATTCTATCATTTTTTAATTTGTACACTGAGTAGCAGTTGCTTGTTAATTTCTAGTGTTTTATATAATTTTTTTTTTATATTGATTTTACAAACAAGTTTTATACAATACAAACAAATAAAAAGACATACAAACATGTATAGTTTCATAACCTTTTTTTCATAACCCTCTCTTCTCGGACTCCCCCAAACCTCCCCTTCCTACATCCCAATTTCCAAAATTATTTCAGCAAATTCTAAATAATGTTATCAAATATATTTTTCTTATTTTTTTTTTTTCTTCAACTTAATCTTATGTCGCTGTAATCTCCTTTTCTTTCTCCAAACCTCGACATTTTAACATTCCTCAATTTTATAATAGTTCTTTAGATAGATTTTAAATTTCTTCCAATCTTCTTCCACCGTCTCTTCCCCTGCTCACGGATTCTGCCAGTCATCTCAGCCAATGTCATATAGTCTATAACCTTCATCTGCCACTCTTCCAAGGTGGGTAGTTCTTCTGTCTTCCAATACTTTGCGATGAGTATTCTTGCTGCTGTCGTAGCATACATAAAAAAAGTTCTGTCTTTCTTTGATACCAATTGGCTGGCAATGCCCAAGAGAAAGGCCTCTGGTTTCTTCAGGAAAGTACATTTAAGTACCTTTTTCATTTCATTATATATCATTTCCCAGAAAGCCTTAATCTTTGGGCACGTCCACCAAAGGTGATAAAAGTACCTTCAGTTTCTTTACACTTCCAACACTTATTATCAGGCAAATGATAAATTTTGCTAGCTTGACTGGAGTCATGTACCACCTATAGATCATTTTCATAATATTTTCCTTTATGGCATTGCATGCCGTAAATTTTATACCGGTGTTCCACAACCATTCCCAGTCAGCAAACATAATGTTATGACCAATGTCCTGTGCCCACTTAATCATAGCTGATTTAACTGTTTCATCTTGTGTATTCCATTTCAGCAGCAAATTATACATTCTTGACAAGTTCTTAGTATTGGGTTCTAACAGTTCAGTTTCTAATTTTGATTTCTCCACCTGGAAGCCAATTTTCCTGTCTTGTTTATACACCTCCATTATTTGATAATAATGGAGCCAATCTCGTACTTTGGGTTTCAATTTCTCATAGCTCTGTAGTTTCAACTTATCTCCATCTTAATTTCTAGTGTTTTATAGTATGTTCTTTTAGTGGCTTATCTGGAAACAAGCAGTAGCAATGCATTTAAAATTAAGGTGTTTTAATTGTAAGTAAAGCAAAGCTAGTTCCCTTGCCAAATGTAAGATGTTAAGTTACTGATGAGACATAAACTGGAGTTTACCCTGCACAAGCTGAAATGGATTCATGTGATTGGACTATCTAGTGGAATGGTATCTAATGACTTGTGATGAACTGTATTATTCATATTCCAGCTATAGTCTTTCCTGGAGAAGATGAGCTGCAATGTCTTCTATATGGACTGCACTCAGAGATGGTCTGGAAGATTCAATTGGTCTAAAATATGGCAGACTGACTTTTGTCTGGTGCTCACAGGTTGGAGCATATAACTCCAATCTCACTGAGGCTTCACTAGCTTTCTTTTTGTTTTCCAACACAATTCATAGTGCCGGTTCTAGCTTTTCCCATATAGCCATAAGTAGTTAAGGAGCAGGTAACCTTCAGGACCTAAGATCAAACTCAGAGGCCTTTTCATGATATGGTATTCAGATCGTGAGCATGAGAGTCAGATGTTTCTGTGGAGGTTCTATGGTTCTGGAATATTCTTCCAGCTGAAAACTATCAGAATCTCTCTGTTTCATCAAAACTCATGTTTCAATGTACCTTTAATATGAAAACATTTTGTTCAGCTCTGCTTCACTTGCTGTTATACCGTATTTACGCAAATCTAATGCACCATCGAATCTACTGCGCGCCTCAAATTTCAAAACCTTGAAACCAAAAAGGTATTTGCTAGTGAATGTAAATATGCCATCAAATCTAATTCGCATCCTAATTTTCATGACGTAATTTGGCCAAAATAGGTGTGCATTACACCCAAGTAAATAGAGTAAGACTTGGGGTGAGCATAGTATTCCTATGTTCTTCCCTGTCCTCCTCAAAAAATTATCTGTGCAGTACGTCTGAGAGACTTGATTTCAGCACTGATATAAACATGCGTGCTTTCCCTTTATACTATCTTGAGCAGGGATGTAGTTTGTTTTTTAAAAAATGTGCTCTTGAATGAGAATGAGTATCCTAGAACAGGTGGCATAACTGTAGTGAATGGTTGACTATACAGTGGTACCTCGGGTTACATAAGCTTCAGGTTACATACGCTTCAGGTTACAGACTCCGCTGACCCAGAAATAGTACTTCGGGTTAAGAACTATGCTTCAGGATGAGAACAGAAATCGTGCTCCGGCAGCAGCAGGAGGCCCCATTAGCTAAAGTGGTGCTTCAGGTTAAGAAGAGTTTCAGGTTAAGAACAGACTTCTGGAACGAATTAAGTACTTAACCCGAGGTACCACTGTAATGCTAAAGTGCATAATCAGTGGCGCCATCTATAGGGGCTACAGCACCCACAATATTTTGTGCTGTGAAAAAAAACTGGGCCCTGAGGAAGTGCTGTCCCAGGCCCAGCTTTTCTTACGGTGCACATGCATGCATGCTGCGTTGCGAAGTTATGGCATGCAGTGCAGCACGTTGTGCACCCACAGTCAGGGATCTAAGTTGGTGCCCTTGTGCTTAATGTTGGCTACATTGCCTTTCATTCCAGTTCTGACACAGTAATGTTGTCACTGGTTTTTCTTATCCAGTTGTTTCCAGCTGGGATTCCTCCTTCTTTTTAAAAATATTTTTTATTAAATGTTTAACAACAAGCATCACTTTTCCAAAATAAGAGCTATAAAACAGCAACTTAAATTTCCATAATAGTAACCACACAATAACTGATTTGGTGTTATGTCAGTAAAATATACAAGATCATAAAAGATTGCGACAAACTAAGCAAAAGACAAACAATATATATTAAATCATGATACATATAAAAAATGAAACACACCCAAGATAATAGTGCAAAATCTTAAAATATATACTGCTTTGAGATGGATTGAAATGATATAAATAATTAAACTTTTATTCAAAATATTCATATGGAGACAGCACCACCTAGTGATATAAGAGATGTTATAAAAAATAGGGGAGCCTAGTTCACCAAAAAGGTGGGGGGAGGGTAGGAAAGTTATGTCAACCATACAGTACAAACAGCTGTTGCCAGAAGATTGCCATATTCGGTTGTACTCATAAAATCTATACGGTCTACCCAAGGTGCAGTAAAATTGTCTTCTTAAATTTGTCCTTGTGCGAGTCTATGGTTGCCATACATCCAGGAAATCCCGGACATGTCCTCTGAGGGGGGGGGGGGCAACATGCCCATCTGGAGAGATTTTTACATTTCAATGAAAATGTCCGGGTTTTAGGGGGTGGGGTTAAATTTATTTATTGCCTCAGGTGGCTCTGCATGCCGTGGCTGCTGCCAGCCTGAGCCGGGGAAAGAGGTCCACGGGTTTGGCAGCTCTGTGCACCTGCACACCTAGAGGTGCACGGGTTTGGCAGCTCTGTGCACCTGCACACCTCTTTCCCTGGCTCAGGCTGGCAGCAGCTCAGGCTGTCCTCTTTTTTGCTCTTCAAGAAATGGCAACACTATGCAAGTCTCAATCTATTCACCATTTTTTCCAGTAATGCAATCTGCCATACCTCTTTATACCAGTTTGTAACATTCACTCCTTCCAGGTTTCATCTGCGATTCCATCTGAGCTTCGCACAGCTGTTTACAGAGCAGAGGGCTCAAAAAAACACAAAGTCAAAGCAGAAGAAGGCAAAATGGGTTTTGCATATGTGTACGTAAACTTTCTATTGTCTACGTTCTGCTTAGGATTTAGCTTGTTGTTCTTTTCCTCTTTTTAACTGTTCCTCCTCTTTTTTTATTTGATAGTGTGTCTCTGTAAAGCGCAAGCAGGGAGCTGATCTATACAGAAGGAATTTAGTAGTAAGCTGGCCATCCATCACCTTTTAGTGTCTCTTAGTCTCTTAGATTTATATCAGATACCATTACAGTATCTGGATTCAAGAGTCTTTCAGACTCTTAGCTCTGGTCAGCACTGTTTCTTAAAACATAGATGTAGCAGACTATTCATTTATTTCAGTGATCAATGAAAGTATTACTTAAGGGAAACAGATCTGTTTATCTAAATAATATATGCATTCATATAAGCTTCAAAAGACACAAACACTGGATGGAGCTATTTTGGGAAATGCATGTTTCCAAACCTGCATTTCTCGTGATAACAGGAATGTGAGGATGATGGCATTACTTACAGGAGAAAATTGTTGGGAGGATTGGAGGCTGAACTGCTTCCTGGGCTTGCTATTCCCTCAAAATGCTTCTCCATCCAGCTATTCCCCCCCCCCCCAGCTGAGATGGTTTTGGAGTGTGGCTGGGAGAAAAATAATTAAAAATGGATGGGGAAGAGACATTGGCAAGGGAGATTAGAATGGAGGGGGGAGATTAAGCACACTTTCTGCCAATCAGTTTCCCCTGTAAGTGTCTCCTTGTTCCCCACATAAGCATTATGAGAAAACATGAGATTGGCAGCATTCAGTTTCTTCATAGTTCTTCATAATAAATTGCTTCACCCCTCCACTGCTGCTGGAACATAAGCCATGGTTTGCCTGAGTGGTTACCCAGACTTGTGGTTTGTCTCTCTCCAAACGAACGCAAGAGGTGTAACCAAGATTTATTCTTCCCACTTGTGATTTGTTTGTGGGAACCAAACCACAAGTTTAGGTTTCACTGTAATGCTAAGTCAACTCTAGGTAGTACAGCAGCAGGAGGAGGTGAGGAATGAAGTAGCTGCGATTCTCACTTAGTGTACCAGGATGTCGTTCATTTGCAAAGTGACATGAGAAACAGGCCAATGTTTCAGCTGAAAATTCATTTTATTTAAAAACAGCTCCTTAATTAATGTGATGTTTTAATACACTGCTTCCACACAAGCACTGCATATTCTGGGGCATGTAAAAGTTGTTTCCATGTGCTAAAAGTATGTAGAATAGTTTTCAGATTTTTCTTTTTGTGTTTTTAGTTTCTCAAAAATACATAAGGAAAAGATAAAACCAATTGTTGGTCAATGTACTGAACTGACTGAATGGGATCAGCATCAGAGCATGGAATACTCTGAACTGGGAGATATGAATGATGAGAGACTTTCTTTAGTTCCTCTTCAGGAAGAATCCAGCTGTACTAGTGATGTATCAACTGATGTTTCCATTGAAAGTAAAGGTATAATGGAGAAACTAAGACTGTTATTAAATAGCTAAGCTAGTAAAAGAATTCTGAAATGGTTAAGAATTGCAATTTTCCCCTTCTCCAATTTCTTATGCACATCTTGCAAGTGTGCAGAGATTATATAAGGAAAATCAGATTTTTCACTTGAAAATGTATGTTATTGTGTGACATGTTACGTATACACACACATACATGCACACACAAATTGCAACTGAGATGTAATTTGAGACACATTTGGGGAAGGAAGGACTACATTTGGGGAAGGAAGGACTAAATTCAGCTCGTTTTACTGCAGTTACCAAGTTATTTTCTCTTGACAGAGATGGATGCCATTCACTCATGAGCAACAGAGAATATTATGAAGAACAAAGAATATTAAGCGGAAACTGGCAATAAGTTTCAGTAATCATATATCCTGGGCTTCTAATTAATACAGTGGTTATGTAATTAATTATATTGGTTATCTGTTCCAGGTGAAAATGAAAAGTCTGAAATTCTTCCTGTTTCTACCCGTTTAAGTTGCCATAAAAGAACATGCATGAAATTTCAAGCTGGTTACGATCATAAAACTATCAGAGAGAAAAAACCTCCCTGTTACGATAAAACTGGTGTGTATATTGAAAGCCAAATGCTGTTGCCACATGCACTCTTGAAGTCAGTACTTCTGCATTTGTTTTATCCATGGGTGATTTTTGTCTGTGATGTAGCCAATGAAAAAAAAATTACCCCAGACAAAATAATGCATTTAAGCAAAGTAATTTATGTATAATACAGTATAATTCACTGAAAAGACATCTAAATGTGACACATGCACTTTTCATCTCTCATAGTGACCCACTTTAGAATGAATAAAACACATCTAAAATCATCATAATTGAAAGTGTAATAAAACAGTTAATGCTGCAGTGCAGAATAATCCTAAACTCAGAACAATTTTGTAAGGCATCTAAACAAAACCTTCAAAAGCTTGGAAGAGAGAGGAAAAAAATCACCAAAGAAGATGTCTCATCAGCATTTTGGTTATCTGTGTCTCCAGGGGGAGGGAATTCCTGCTTCAACCACTGTTTGGCAGGGAAGAAATGCAGGGGATTTTGAGAGGGTTGGCAAGAAGATTTGGGTCTGAGGAAAGATGTCAAGGAAGGAAGAATTACTTTTCTGAGCCCTGGAGTGGTTCAGAAAAATCTGGGTTCTTCTGTTTCCTCCCCAGAAGAACTCAGATAATTTTCAAGCTAATTGAATGCAAATTAGGGTGAGTTCACCTGTCTTTAAATATAATGATTTCTGCTTTGATTTAAGCCAGCATCCACATTAAAAAGGACTAGCATGTTTCAAACTGGGAATGTCTGTTTTGCAGAAGCGACTTGCCTCAAACCAGAAATTACTGTTTATGTAATAGAAGCACCCGATGACACCCCATGCCAAACAAGACACACCTCTTAATGGACTTAAATTAGTCATACACATTGATTTCAGTAGGTCTACAGTGTGATTAAGTTAGATCAGGGGTTGTCAACCTGGTCCCTACCCCCACTAGTGGGCGTTTCAGGATTCTAGGTGGGCGGTGGTAGGGGGTTCTACGGCACAAGCTGAATCCTCCTTCCATCAAGCACTGGTGGGAGGTAAGGAAATTTTACCATCAAGAAAGATCCATTAGTGGGCGGTAGGTAAAAAAGGTTGACTACCCCTGAGTTAGATGTATCCTTTGTGTGCATACTGTAAATAACTTACACAGACTGACAAAGCTTAATACGTAGTCATAGTTCTATCACTTTATAATGTCATAATTTTAGAATGGCATGTGGATTTTTACACATACAAAGGCTTAATCTTTGTATTTTTAATCTTTTGTTGGAAGTCGCCCAGAGTGGCTGGGGAAACCCAGCCAGATGTGCAGGATTATATGATGATGATGTTATTACTGCTTTAACCAAAATTACAGGGTTTTTTGGAACATTTATAATGTTTATACACAAAATAATACTCACTACATTCTTTTCTCTTCCAGAACCCATTATTGACGATGTAGTATCTCATATTTTGAGATTGAGAGATAGACTTGGGTGGGAGACATCATTACCACGACGTGGATTTGTAGCTAAACCGGCAAATTTAGCTAATTTTCAGAAGATTACGTTGCCGGTATTTACCTTTTCAGTTCAAGTCGGTTTGTTTAATTTATGTATTTAGGATTCAGTTTGGAACCTGTTGAAGTTAATGAAAATTTGTCTTTGATTTTGATGGTTCTGTATTGTGGTTGTGCGACAAAATCCTAGCAAAAAAAGAAGAAGTGATGCCTTGGGTTCTGGTTTTCATTAGATAGGCCGGCATGGAAGAAAGGTAACTCTAGCTAGTATTTGGTAGATGGATAACTTTTACATATTATGTCTTTCGCTTTCTATTGCACCGTAACTTAAGGACTTGGGTGGTATAATTAAATATTTTAAATCTTCCTTCTGCATTTGCTTCTTAAATGTTCTGCAGTATTGACTACAGTATTGACTAATGATTATAGATAGATAGACAGACAGATAGATAGATGAATAGATAAATCCATATGCTGTCTTATTAAATGAAAGATTTCCTGTTTAGAGCTACGATTTTTGTTCTTGCACAACACCAGCTCTACTTCCTAGGCTATTGTTTCTGGCAGTCTGATTTGGACTAACAGCACTCAAAATGAGAACTATCCACCTTAATGTTTGTATTGTGAATTGCTGGTGCTTCATAATTAATAATTATTAAGATTCTTAAGAGCTTTTCTGTTTATTTCCAAAGCCCAAAGTTTGTGAATTCACACATTGTCCAGCTACATTGATTTTAATAAGACTTATGTGTCTTTACAATCTCAGCTTAATCAGTGTTTCTCAAATTTGGGTCCTAACTGCTGTTAGATTCCCATCAGCTCTAACTAGCTGGGCCCAGTGGTCTGGGATGATAGGAGTTACAGTCCAACAACAGCTGGGGAGCCAAGTTTCAGAAACACTTGTTAAGTTCTTCATTAATTCATTCTGATTTTCTGTTATCAGAAAGGTGCATTACAGAAAGATGATGGAGAGTTTGTATATTGTCTCATAAGAAGTAGAAATGACCCTAAAGCAGACTATGATCCATATGACCTCCAAGTAGTCTCTCCAAGTATGGCCAAACAAAGTAAAGAATATTGGACTGTTACAGCTTCATATGTATCCAAGGTAAGCAACAGGGAAAAGCCTGCATAAAAATGGCTTTTCAGTTCTCTGCCTTGTTTACTGGGCTCTAAGAAATGCTGTCACAGACTTCACAGGCCTTGTGAGATGTCACAAGATCTCTGACAGTTCTGCAAGATCTTGTGCCAGCTCCAAAAGGTAAGGTTGCTCATGCAGAGGCAGTTCCAGGAGGTTGTTTTGACATTGTGTGATTTACGGGCTATTCTCCCCCCACCGAACATAACCCCGCACAAGAAGCGATCCCACTGTATATCAATGAGAAATCCTCTCCACTTCCCAGTGGGGAGGAGTTGCAGTGGACCACGTGGCCACCCACTCCCCACCGGGGGCAGGGGACTTTGTCCCCCGTTGCCTGGGGGATCCCGGCCACATCAGAGCCCGGCCAGCCAATCTGCTGGCCGGGGGGGCGGTGTGGCCGGAGCCGTTTAAACGGAGGAGCGAGCCAGAGGACTTCTTCTTTGGCTCGCTTCCTCAATTACCCTCCCTCCCTCCCTATTTTGCAGGTTAGGCAATGGCCTTGCTATGGACTTTGGTTGGTGCCTTGGTTGTCCGAGGGGCTTGGTAGGAATTTTTCCACTTGGCAAATTGGCACTGGCCACTTGGTTTTCACCTACCTCGTAGCAATCGTCACAACTTTGTTAGGGTTGTGGTTAGGCATTGTTTGACCTTGTGTGGGGGGAGGGAGGTGTGGCCATCACCTGCCCCTCCACGCTTAAGGGTATTCCGTTAAAGGAATCCGGGGGTGTAGATCTAGTCTGAAGCCCGGCTGGGGGCTAGGGCCTTGACACGACCCCGACGGGAACACCAGGGGGAGCTTGAGTTGGTTCGCATCGACAGGGCTCCCCCTACCGGTGGCTTACCCTTACTGGACTTCCTGCACAATGGGCAGGAGTCAGATATAGTCAGGTCCAATCAAGACCTAAGCCAATACCGCTCACATTCTGTTATTTCAATAAAGTTGTGGCCAGAATTTTGCCCAATAACATAAATCTAATATCTGTGTCCTTGTGTGAGCTATTTCCAACGAGGGGGTGGCTGCAGGGTCTCAACACGCAATTCCTGATTCCCTGTTTTCTAACAATAGCAACGATTAAAAGGCATCCTCTCACTATCCTAAATTAGGTTTCTGACACAAAGAAAGCTTGGGAGGAAACCTGGAGTAGACTTTTCTCCTGAGTTGAGTATGTTTTCAGAGGCACCTTGTCCTTAATTCTTGGTGTATGTTGGCTCACCTGGGCCACAGTAAAAAAAAAAAAAGTAAATTCCATAAATTTAAAATCAGACAATCTGCTGTTCTACACAAAGTGTGCCTTCCAAAGCAAAGGGTCTAACTGGAATTGCTTGTGTACTGACGGCTGGATCTCCAAACTGAGTGGAGTGACATAATTGTGAGATTATCTAAAATCAAATGTTTCTGAATTCTAGAATCAATGGTCAGGTTTTCAGGCAAAATGATTGAATTCCTGTGTGCGACATTCTTATTTTTTTCATTAAGTAAATGTAAAAAACATAAATAGTGGTAAGTAATGTGTTTATAGGGTGCTGGTTAGTTATAAAAGAACACATCTATAGAGGTAAGAAGGGAGAAACTTCACAGTTTAAAATAAGCGGAAACAGTTAAATCTTTGAACTCCTGAAAGTAGTTTTGCTTCATTTTTCTAGTTTACTTCAGTGTGTGGAAAAGAAGAAATGGAAATAATACCAGTAATCGAGTGGTTGTGTGAAAGACAAATTTATTATGCATTACGAAGTATCGATATATGTTTTAATTTCAGGTAAGAGAGATTGTATTATATTTTCAGTACATTATAGGCTGAACCCTGGAGTGCTGTTCCTCTTACAGAAGGGCTTTTTCTGTTACAACACAATATCTTTGCATGAGAAGGGAGAATAGGAATTGAATGTTGTTCTTCAGTTTGCACAAATCTCTTGCACAAGGTTACAGTCTTTTCCACAAGTTCTCAAGATGTGTGCCTGCAAAAGGTGTTGACTACGCACATTGCACATCAGAGGAATCCTTGGGCCTGGGCAGACATTGCCAAGGTTACAGGGAGGGGGCAGGCTGTGCACAGAGGGGATATACACAATCTTCCATGCGGACATTTCCCTATGCCAATTTACAAGGCCCATTCACAGTAAGTAACCAATGTTAGTAGAGTATTTGCTCATATTCATTCTTCCCATTGTTTCTACTATTCCTCTCTAGTATCTACTGTCTCTCTCACTGCGGAATTTGCAAGTTCCTTGGGAGAGATACCAGGGGGTTTTTTTGGGTTCTTTTGTGTATGCTATTAAGTTCACAATGCTGCTGCTACTGGAGTTGAGACCTTTGAGTAGGGTCTGATATTAAATATTTACGTATTTCCTTTTTGTGACAAAATTGAAGTAAACATGTGGCTCTATTATCTTTTTGTTGTGCAATCTTCCAGATCTCTTTCTCTACTTTTTTCTTTCTAGAAAGAGGAAATACTTTATCACCTGGAAAAGCAATGCTAAGAGATCAAAAATAGAGAACAGCAAGTAAGTGTGAACAAAATATATTAGTGTAGACAGTTTGTGAAACTAAGGCAGCCCTGTTTAGGGAAGTTTTTAATGTTTGATGTTTTATCGCTTATTATTATTATTATTATTATTATTATTAATTGATATTCTCTTGGGAGCTGCCCAGAGTGGCTGGGGAAACTCAGCCAAATGGGTGGAGTAGAAATAAATTATTATTATTATTACCTATCATTTCTGAAATATAGTTAGCAAATAAGCTGTGCAGTGGTTTTCATTTTCTATTACTATATTAGGTAAGTCAGAAGTTCAGATTTTTACAAAGTGTGTAGTGGCCCATTATGGTTTACAGTGGTGGGATAGGAACAGACAAGTGTACATTACACCCCTGATGGATGTAGTTAGATGGATTTTCTTAGTGTGCCCTTGGAATAATGGGTGAGACTTGTCTCGTCCGTGAATCACAAACAGATGCATCTGATTGTGGCTGTGGCCACTGAAACAGAGTCAGATGAAACTGTATGGCCCTGAATCCTATCCCCAGTAGGGCCGTGGCTGCCAATGACTGCAGCCATTTTTCGGAGTTCCTCAGAACCTTCTTTATGTGATTTTAAATACAGAAACTTTTTATTAACTGGTGTCATTCCCCAGCCATAAAGAAATAATGAAGAAATGGAGGAAAATAAGTAAAGGATTAAAAGTAACATTGAGAAAATGAACAGGGTCTACCTTCATAGGATGACATATATAGTCAGAGATATAAATTCCAAATTGGAGGGGAAAGAGGGACACTATAAAGGTTATATTAGTGTGTGTTTGTGTGTGTGTGTGTTTGTACACACACATTCATTCATCCACTGCACGCACACAATTTTGGAGAATTTCCATGGCATCCCTGTTATGTCACTTAACATTTATTACTGTGAACTGAGAATCTGTATGGGTTTTATACTTAGAACTGGTTTTCTTTTTGGCAGAATGCTGTTGTATAAACGTTTGTTTCTGGCTGATGAGATATTACAAAAATGCTTGCTTTATATTCAAGCATTGTGTGAGGACGTGAGTAACACTGAGAAGCACAAATTGTCAGAAGATAAAACTATCAGTTTCATAAAGGTGAGAAGAAAAATATTTTCAGTGGATAGAAAAAGTGTAGGAAAAATATTTCCACAACTTTAAATATAATTACTTATACAGAAATATTTACTGTTGGAAGCCAGTGAAAATCTGGAAACCAATTAAAATGTAATATAATAAAATGAATGCATTAATGTATGGTTTCCATTTCTCAAGATTTCATCTGATAAATGATGAGGGCATTATGACCTATCAGTGTGAGAAACAAGAGAATCAGATCAAATGTATTAGTTTGGTTCTGGTTTATGTTCAGTTTTAACTAAAGTTCTGGTTTAGGTCTGGTTCAGGTTCAAGGTCCTTAAGTCTGGGATTTGGCTTGTAACAACTGAATCAATTGCATCAGATCAGTTTCACAGTATGTTGCATATATGATAAAGTGATTAATATCATGCTGATCTATGTAATTCCTAATACATTATTTTAAAATATAATATTTATCTATTTATTGAAAGATTTAAATGTGTTTTCTTTTTACGATAAAGACTCCATACTTGCTTCCCTGCTTCCCAGTGATAGTTTGGTGATTCACAGACATGTAATATTAAGCCAATTTTGCAGACAGCAGCTTTCGTTAATCACCACTTAATTACATCTGTTGACAGCGCCTCGACAGATGCAAATAACCAGCCACGACACTCCCCTGGAAGTCTGATAATTGATTCAATTCTCATACCCTGTATATTTATTGCTATGTTTTGTGGTCCATTATTGTGGGAAGTTAAGCAGAGAACTGCTGGTTTAAAAGAAGGAGTGCTATCAAAGTTGATTGCTGTGTTTACATAAAGATGAACAGAATTTCACAGATTTTTAACTTTTCTCTTTTTGCATTTTAGTGCTGATGCTATGTCATTTCTTGCTTTTGCCCTTAAGGATTAATGAGGTGGTTCAATGGACACAGGATCTTGCATTAGATTTAGGGCATTTTTGGGTTATTCTATATATATCCCCCCCTTTTTTTTCTTAGATAGACATATCCCACACATACACTTTGGATGAATTTTGTGAGGAACAATACAAACAAAGTCAACAGGCACTCACTCAGCTACAAGATTTTAAAGATAAAGTAATCAAAGTAATCCGGACCTCTTTCTTAAAGGCAAGTTCTCTTTTTTTGTACTTTAATTCTGAATATTTTAATTCTTGTATATCACTTCAACTATATTTATTTTTTCCCCTCTAATAGCAAGAAAGAGGGCATGCTTTTGGAGTTTCTTTGTATTTTTCAAGTCTTAATGTGTATTTTATTCATTTTTTTAAGTGAAATGGAATTGTTAGATGGAGAAAGGCTGTAGTTTAGTGGCAAAGTACATGATGTGCTTTTAAAAGGTCCCCAGATTCAATACCAGGCATCGCTAGATAGAGAGCTGCTGCCAGCCAGTGTAGATAATACTGAGTAAATGTATCACTGGTAAGGTATTAAACTCCTCTTTATGGAAGGGAGTCGCCTCAGACTCCTTAAAAGAAATAGAAGCATGACTACTGAAAAAAATCATTCTTAATCCAGAAGACTTGAACAATTAAAGGCTAGTGGGAAATGGGCAAGGTGCTCAAGTTATCATCGGCATTCTTGGAGAATGCTAATTTTCTTATTTCAATTGGTGCTGAGCTCTGATCTTTTAATCTTTTTAAACATGTTAATATTATTTGACTATCTGTTCATTTCAGTCCCCATTTCATTCTGTTGTTGAATACTTTAGCTTGCATGGTGAGTTTTTGAAATTCGTGATTGAGCTAAATGGTTCTTAAAGCAGTGTTATGTACTGAAGTTCTCACCCTGGGCCAGCAGGGGGATACTGTAGATAGTTATGCAAATGAAGGATCGAAAAGTGACGTTCAGTGATTGGATAGTTTTGTATGCAAATGAAGGATCGAAAAGTGACGTTCAGTGATTGGATAGTTTTAGAAAATGGCAACAGTTACAATTGTTCTGTAGCTCTATATAAGCAGACTGACTGAGCTCCTCAGTTAGTTCTGTTCCAGCTTACAAAATAAAGAGCTGCTTTGGAGAAATCGCTGTGTCGTCTGCTATGTCAACCCACAACTTAACACTGGGGACGAAGGTGGGATCGGTGGACATCAGAGCACAGCCAGATGCGGCCATCATCTGAACTGAGCTGAATCACAGAGCGAAATCACTGAGCGAAATCACTGGACAGAACCAATTCAGAGCTGACTGTTCTGGCTAGAGCACTGTGTTCCATCCATCGCCCTTCACGCCGGCATCGGAATCATGGCTTCACTTGTGCCTCTACCGCCGTTTGCGCCAGCCTCTGAATCATGGGACTCCTACCTCGCTCGGTTCGACTGCTACCTCCAAGCCAACGAGCTGACAGCAGTATCAAAGGAACGGAAGCGGGGCCTATTCCTCAGCCTCTGTGGGCCTGAGGTGTTTGAGACGGCCCGAGCATTGGTTGCGCCTGAAGCAGTCCAGGCAACACCATGGGACACGATCCAAGAGAAGCTCCGCAACCACTACGCGCCAAAGCCGTCCAAGATTGCTGCCCACCATGCGTTTTACCACCGGAACCAGGCGGAGGGGGTCAATCAACAACTACACCACTGCCCTCAGACAGGCTGCAATGCACTGCGAGTTCCGAGACTTAGACGATGCCCTGATGGATCGAATCGTCTGCGGGGTCCGGGACATCCATCTGCAACGGCGTCTCCTCGCCAAGCCAGACCTCACGCTACAGAAAGCCATTGAGGAGGCTGTGGCCTCAGAAGCTGCTGAACGCTCCGCCCAGGAGATCCGCAAGTCCAGCAGCCCGCGTCTTGCTAGGAAGCCAGTTCCAGTGCATCACGAAGAGGCCAGCAGTGATGAGGCATCCTCCAGTGAAGACGATGACGTGCACCAGACAAAGCGGGAGCGCAGGAAGTTCCAACAGAAGTCCAAGGGCCAACCGGAATGTGCCGGCTGCGGAGGCAACCATTCCCGTGCCAAGTGTCGATTCAGAGACGCCATCTGTCGGAAGTGTTCCAGAAGGGGCCACATCGCTAAGGTCTGCCGATCGGCTCCGTCTGACACCCCCCCTTCACCGACTCGCAAGTCCAAGTCTTCACTCCAGTCTGCCAAGGAAAGCTGTTTCGCTCTCACCAACTGCCGCTGCCCGTCTGGAACCACGATTGGCCAAACTGACTCGCCTACGCGACGCAAGCTGAACGTCACGGTGCTCATTGAAGGAGCTCCATGTGACATGGAGATCGACACCGGGTCTGCCCTGTCCATCGTGTCTTGGAGCACCATCAAAAGACTGGTACCCAGAGTGTCCAAAAGGCAACTCGACTCTCACCGCGTACACCTGAGAGACTACCAGGGAAACGACATTCCCGTGGTAGGCGTTGGCCGGTTCCGGATCGCCTTCAAGGATTTTTCGGGCCTGCTCCGGCTGGTGGTGGTCGAAGGTCAGCGGCCAAGCCTCCTAGGGCTAGACTGGTTTGATGCCCTCGGCCTGGAAGTCACCGGCATCAACTGCATCTCTAACGCAGAGACTGAGGGTCTGGTCAAAGACTTTGCCGAGGTTTTTGACGGCACTTTGGGGCAATATACAGGTACGCCCATCTCCTTTAGCCTTGATCCACAAGTCGCCCCCATCAAGCTAAAGCCACGCCGGGTTCCCTTTGCTCTCAAGGCTAAGGTGGACGAACAACTGGACAAGCTGATCGCCCAAGGAGTTTTGGAGCCGGTTGACCACGCCAAGTGGGAAACCCCCATCGTCACGCCTGTCAAGCCAGACGGGTCGGTGAGAATCTGCGCTGACTACAAGTGCACGATCAACAAGGCACTTCAGCAGCACGCTTATCCGGTTCCTGTTGTCCAACACCTGCTGCATTCCCTGGGTGAGGGTAAGGTCTTCGCTAAGCTGGACCTTGCCCAAGCCTATCAACAACTGCCCGTCGATGATGCCACTGCTGAAGCCCAGACGATCGTCACCCACCGAGGGGCATTCCGTTGCCGCCGGTTGCAGTTCGGGGTGAGTGTGGCTCCTGGCATCTTCCAAAGCCTTATGGAGCGTCTCCTGCAAGGGCTTCCGGGCGTGGTACCATATTTTGATGACGTCTTGGTGTCCGCAGACTCACACCAGCAGCTGTTCGAGCGCCTCCGTGCCGTGCTGACCAGGTTCCAAGAGGCCGGGCTCAAGGTAAAGAGGGAGAAGTGCCAGATCGCCGTTCCACAGGTAGAGTTCCTGGGCTATCTTATCGACGCCTCCGGCCTTCACCCGACCACATCCAAGATCCGCGCTATCCAGCAGGCCCCCATCCCAAAGAACAAGACGGAGTTGCAGGCGTTCCTGGGGCTGCTGAACTTTTATAACATGTTCCTGCCCCACAAAGCCACGGTGGCTGAGCCTCTTCACCGACTCCTCAGCACAAAGACGCCTTGGTCCTGGGGTCATCGGGAGACGGCGGCCTTCAACGCGGTCAAGGCTCTCCTTTCATCGGACAGTGTGCTGGTACAGTACAGTGAATCCAGGCCGCTGGTCCTTGCCTGCGACGCCTCACCTTTTGGCATCGGCGCTGTCCTTAGTCACCGTTTTCCAGACGGAAGAGAAGCACCGCTCGCCTACTTTTCCAGGACGCTATCTCCGACGGAACGGAATTACAGCCAGCTCGACAAGGAGGCACTGGCACTTGTGGCTGGAGTGAAGAGGTTCCATGAATACCTCTATGGCAGGACTTTTGACCTCATCACTGACCACAAGCCGCTCCTGGGCCTCCTCGCCGGTGATCGTCCAACTCCACCGGTCCTCTCGCCGCGCATGCTGCGATGGACTGTTTTCCTGGCTGCCTACCACTACCGGCTCGTCCATCGCCCGGGGAAATCGATGGGCCATGCCGACGCCCTCAGCCGTTGCCCTCTTCCAGCGTTTGTGGAAGACCCGGCTCCAGCTTCATCGCTCCTCCTGATTGAGGATCTTCCGGCAGCGCCTGTATCGGCTGCCACTGTGGCCTCCGCATCTGCCCAGGATCGCACCATCAGCCGTGTGCTCAACTGGGTGGGGAGGGGTGGCCACAAGGGCCTTTTGCATCGGAGTTCCAGCCCTTCGCAACCAGACAACATGAACTCTCGGCTCATCGCGGCTGTCTGCTGTGGGGAGACCGCGTCGTGATTCCCCAAAGACTCCGTCAACGCGTCCTGGAGGCTCTGCACGTTGGCCACCCGGGAATTGTCAAAATGAAGGCGTTGGCTCGGTGTTACGTCTGGTGGCCTAACATGGACGATGCCATCACTGCCTGGGTGTCCGCCTGTCAAGCGTGCCAAGAATCGAGGCCTGCACCACCGGCAGCTAAGGGACACACCTGGGAGACGCCAAAGACACCCTGGTCGAGGGTGCACATCGATCTGGCCGGCCCCTTTCACGGCCGGACCTTTATGGTAGTGGTGGACGCCTATTCCAAATGGCTGGAGGTGGCCCTGATGCCCTCCACCACTACCGAGGCCGTCATCCGGGTGCTGCGAGGCCTGTTTGCGACGCATGGGTGTCCTGATGTCCTTGTCTCCGACAACGGACCGCAGTTCACGTCAGGCACTTTTGAGCGGTATCTTTTGGGACTGGGCATCCGCCATGCCCTAACGGCACCATTTCATCCATCCAGCAACGGGCAAGCGGAGAGAATGGTGCGCTCGGCAAAAGAGGCACTGGCGCGCCTGGACCGGGGAGACTGGCACGAGCGGGTCGCCGAATACTTGTTCGTGCAACACATCACCCCTCATGCGGCCACAGGGCGGAGTCCTGCTGAACTGCTTATGGGCCGCCGCCTCAGGTCACCGCTCGACCGGCTGCACCCAGACTTTGCCGTGGCCGAACCCCCAGGCTGTGCCAATGTGCCATGGTCATTTGTTCCAGGAAACCAGGTCTTTGCCCGGAACTATGTGGGGGACATTCCTTGGGTGCCAGCCACAGTAGTGGGAGTCACTGGACCTCGCTCGTACCAGGTGGCACTCGAAGACGGACGCTTGTGGCGCCGGCACATAGACCAGCTTAGGCGCAGGGTTGGGGACTTGGACACTACCGTGGTGCCCCCAACTGCGCTCGTGGCTCCAGAAGAGACACTTACAGATGGCGAGGCTCCACCTACACCTCCCTCGCAAACTGCCAGCGTGGAGCCGAACCAAGCCACTTCAGAGGGTCTGCCAGACTTACCACAGGCTCAGACCACTCCACTTGCGGAGGCTCCACCCACAGCAGCGGATCCAGGGGATTTGGTTTCAACGCCACCTAGGGTCGCACCACAGCCTCAGCAAGAATTGTGTGGCCCCCCGGACTTGGCTACCAGTCCCCGGCGGTCTGGCAGAGTTTCCAAGCGCCCAACTTATTTAAAGGACTATGTTGTTGGACATGTATCACTGTTGGTCTAAGTATGGGAAATGTAACCGATATGCTTTTGTGCCTAATTGAACCATTACGTGTAGTGCTGTATATAAGGAAACCATTACGATTGTAACTAACGCCTTATCTCGGTGGGGAGGGGTGTTATGTACTGAAGTTCTCACCCTGGGCCAGCAGGGGGATACTGTAGATAGTTATGCAAATGAAGGATCGAAAAGTGACGTTCAGTGATTGGATAGTTTTGTATGCAAATGAAGGATCGAAAAGTGACGTTCAGTGATTGGATAGTTTTAGAAAATGGCAACAGTTACAATTGTTCTGTAGCTCTATATAAGCAGGCTGACTGAGCTCCTCCGTTAGTTCTGTTCCAGCTTACAAAATAAAGAGCTGCTTTGGAGAAATCGCTGTGTCGTCTGCTATGTCAACCCACAACTTAACAAGCAGCATCTTATTTTATTATGAACTCTGTGTATTTTGATTGTAAACTGATGTTTTAATTGGTTTTGTTTTAATTTATGCCACATAGAAGCTTTTGTATGAAGCGACCAATCTAACAATTATACATAATGAGAAGACCAGAAGTTCACCAGATAAAAACTGTTTTTTGTTGCCAGAGAAAATTCTTTCATTGGAAGCAATCCTAAATTACTAGTAGCTTAGAACAAGTATTGCAAATATTTTATCTTATAAAAGGTTATTCAGTATATAGTAATTATTTTTTCCAAATTATTTTTTCCAAAATGTTATAGATAGCTGAAATGAAGGGAGCAGAAAAGCTTTTTCTGCATTTGCCAGATGATGCCAGAAAAAAGCCAAAACACTTTGAGATAGCTGGATGGCGGCACATAATGGAAGACTTTTCTAGGTTTCTTCAGCTTGTTGACCGAATGTTTCAAGAACTGCTTCGAAAATTGGTTCACAATGCTTTAAACCTTCTTTTGGAGATATTTGAAGGCTCTAATAATAAGACAGTTTCAAAACTGAAGACAAATGAGGACCTTATATGGTATTTTCACCTGTTTATGATGAAAACACTTGTCCAAAATGTTTTGCTTTATTGTATTGTTCATAAGATTCCTTTGTCATTTTCTTTTATTATTAAGCATAGGTACCTGTTTTGAAAGATTATGAAAAAGAATTTCTTGGAGCAAATGCTTGTTGTTGAATATGAGTAAAGAGCCAAGTATAATATTAATTCTCATAATTGTTATAATAAACACCAATTATATAGTTAACAAATAGTTAAATAAGCTTTCTGATATATTTAATATGTAGTTTAATGTTTTAAGGCAGTTACCAGTATCATTCTGTATCTACTACCCTGAGCTCTTTGGGAAAAGGCAGGATAAAAGTGTGTGCAATTACTTAGTAGAAATAGTTTGTCCTATATCTGTTCAAAAATAATTTAGGTTTTTTCCCCCATATACACAGGGCATATAAAAAAACAATTGAGAGAGCAAATAGCTTATCGAATACTGAGAATAGACATCAACAGATGTTTCAAGCCAATTATTTTGAGATATCACAGGCATCATCACGCCATTCAGAAAAGCCTGAGCCACAAGTAGAAATCATTACTGTTAATGATATAGGCAAGGTAAATTGTTTTCGATGAAAATCTCTTAATCTAACCCTTATGAGGGACTGAATGTAGCTACAAGATAATGCATGATTGCATTCTGCTAGATTTTTTATTCATTTATATCTCACTTTGTTTGATTGTTAATTCATTCATGCCCCACTTTTCAAAAAAAAATCATCCTAATATAGCTTATTTCAATAGAAATTAAAGCAAACTTAATACATGAGTTTTAGGTTCACGTTTCTCATAGTCTCTCCATGCCTCATGACACGCTATTTGGAAGCTATAGGCAGTTTCTTCCTAGGTTTTTTTTTAATGCTTAAGGTATAATAAAATTAAGATTTTTTTTCATGTTATATTTCATTAATTTCTAAGCACAAGGGTCTCTTTTGAAACAGAATCACAGTGGTAAGAAATTAAGAAGCTTGTGCTAAATCTCCATGCTTCTTGAGGGACAATGTGCAAAAATAGTTTTCATTTAGACTCATTCCTTTTCATTTAATTTCAGAATGTTAATAACAACAACAATAATAATAATAATAATATAGAATGGATTTTTGTTGTTGTTATTAAGTTATGAATCACCTTTTACATGTCTCAAAGTGATTTACAAACATATCATGAAAACTTTATAAAACAGTATGAAAACAACTGGTTAGGTTAAAGAACAATATCAAATGAGCAAATGAGCAGAGATCCTTTCATCCAGCTGAAAAAACCATGTCAAAATAAAAAATGTTTTCCATTGTTTCTGGGAAATACATATATTGGGTACCTGTCATAATGAAACATAGATGCCACACTGAAAACTCTGTTACGAATTGTTAATGTGGAGCAGGCTGGTGATATTTTTGGGACTTTAGGAAGAAACTCCTGCAGAATGCAGCGACCTATTGGATATATAAGAGATAAGGTGGTCTCTTAAGTAACTGGGTCTTTCGGTATATAGGGCTTTAGAAATTAGTCCCAAAAAGTATTTTCTGTGAACCCCTGAGACCTCCAGGTATTGTGTAAATTCAAATAATAATAATAATAATAATAATAATAATAATAATAATTTGAAGTTGGCCTGAGAGAAGATCCTACAAAGTGTTGTGTCCTAGTAGTAGTTTGACCCCACGAGCAACCTAGCTGCCAAGTTCTGCACTAACTGTAGCCTCTGTACCTACCTCAACAGTAACCCCTCATATTCAAGCAAGAATAAACAGATTTATAATATATTAATGCTGTGGATTATTCAGTTTTGTTCCTTATTAATATATTATTTTTCTGAATATTATTATTTCTATTTTATAATTAAACACTTTTTAAATAATATTTTTCACATAATTTTTCATACTGTGCAGATTTTCCTTTTGCATTTAAATGATTAAAAACTTAATAAAAATGTAAGCCATTTTTGTTTTTCTTATACAAATTTAGATACTGGAAGATGTGAAAAGGCAACTGAGAGGAGAGGAAGAATATGTGCCAATATTTAAAATAAATATAGAGCTTAGAATTCCTTATGAAAAGGAACTTTGTCGAAAATACATCCAGGAGGATAATGATGATTATCTCTCAGAAACCTCATTAGTACCTTTCAATGAAACATTGGAAGATGAAGATTTGAAACAATTATCTCCAAGTGACAGACAAAGCAAACATGAAGGATCGGAAAATTCTGTGCTACTACAGTCAAATGCATCCAGCGATGAAAAAACCATTTTGAGTAAGAATAACCTGAGTTCTTTGAGATTACAATTTTGAGTCTTTGAGTCTGCATGAGCACAGATGCGCAACTCAGAGTCACATTAGATATACCATCTCTCCAAGATCTAACTGTTGGGCCAGTGGACTTAGCCATGCTTCCTCTTGTCCCACTGCTTTCCACATGGGGAAAACCACTCTTTAGTGTTCAATTTGAACAAACTGCTCTTTGAGTTTTATCCAGATTGACGTTTGCTCCAATTTAGTACCGAAGAGAAATGATCAGGGCAAGGAAAACAACTGCTTGGACCTGTGCTCTCTAGACATGGGACAAGCAGAAATGTGGACGGGCCCAGTGACAAGTGACATTAGCTCTGCAGCTATCACACCATGTTTATGTAGGAGATGGATAGAGGATCAAATCTGTAGATTACAATTTAAACCTCCTATCCCACATGTGTGAGAAATACAGGTTGTAAGGCTATGAAGTCTTTAGCAGAGTAAAACAAATAGGCCTGTTCTTATGTTGCAATCCTCTGCAGCTTTCTAGGAAGAGGCACATGGAGAAATTTCCAGGTACGTTTCTGCGGGGAGAGGCAGGTATTGCAGTCCTGAGCTGCATAAAACTTTATGGGTCAAAAGCAGCACTTTGAATTGAGCCCAGAAATTAATTGGAAGCCACTGTAGTTGTGCCAGAATTGACATTATCTGCTCAGATTGTCTTGCCCCAATCAGAAATCTTATTATTGGATTCTGCACTAGCTGCAGTTTCTCAACCATCTTCAAATTTGTACCTGCCACATTCCATAAGGTATGGTTGTGTTAACATTTACTTTATGTTGGTATCAGCAACTTTTGGATTCTCCACACTTTAGTGGCTATATGAACTTCACTATTATTATTTAGATCTGAACAATGACTTCAGGTTGGGTAAAAGGCATGGGAGGGTGGGATATTTAGTTTGTATTTTTTCTCTTTTTTAGATGTAACACAAAGTACTTTTTCATATAAAACTCAATAACTAAATAAAAAAAATAAAGAAAGCAGTGCATAGCACATTGCACTATTCTAACCTAGGTGTTATGAGAACGTTGACAACAGAAGTTGGGCTACCCCTGTCCAGATAGGGTTGCAGTTGGGTCACCAGCCAAAGTGGATGCAAGGCGCACTGTACCGCTGAGGCCACTTATGCCTCAAGAAAAAGTAACAAACCCAGAAGTACCTCCAAGCTGTGCACTTGCTCCTTCAGGACAGGCTGAATCCTGCCTGTCCAACGTAGGAAGTTACCCACTAACAGCTGCTCATTATCTGGATTATGCTTCAGTTTATTGGCTTTCACCTGATCCATTACAGGAGCCAGGCACTGGCGCAGCATATCCACTGCTACTCTTGCCATTGTAAAGGAGAAATAGAGCTGTGGATCACCCCAGTCAGCAGTTTCATGCAGATGTTAAATAGCATAGGGGATATAAATAACCTCAGTGGTACCCCACATTGGAGGCTCCATGGGGCCAAACGTCCCCCTAGCACCTTCTGCTGGAAATAGCCATCCAAGTATTATGAATTATTATGAAGTAGTACTGGAACCACCTCAAAGTGGAACTGCTCACCCCCAACTTGGACAGCTATCCCAGAAACAAGGATGCCAAGTTGAATAAAATATTGGGGGGCGGGCAGAGGTAAGTCCCACACTGCATAATCAATCACATGATGTGGCACGCACACACCGTTGGAATGGCAATGCCTATCAACTTTGGG